AGATGAGCAACAGAGCATCTCCGGACTTCTTCGGGGACCCACCCCTCAGGCACCTCTCGCGTGTTGCGAGCCGGCTCATAAGATGCACGTCGACATCTATCGATCGTCGCTTGCTGCTCTCTTTGTGTGCATGCATGAGTGTGTCTTTGAGCCGAAGCACGTTTATTCAGGGATGTGTATATGTGTATATATGTATATATCATTATATGAACGCTTACTCACACTAGGGCTCCCGAAGATATGCAGATTATGGACATCATGGATGATCTGGTAGACGTGAACCTTAACCAGCGGCATAGATTACATACGACCTGGAAGGGTCCCAATACCAGCAGGTAGGACCTGGGATTAGAAACAACTACTATCGAGCATCCTGGGGGGCGACGTGCAAAAAAGAGACCGAGGTATAGCATGTGTTGCGGGAAATTCAGCTCGCAGGCAAACTTAACGAGCCTAGCCGGCACAACAGCATCAAACACTTTGTTCAAATCCCAGTGGATGGCAACACTGCGCACCCCTTCGACGGTGGCAAGCTCACGGCACAGCTCTCTCCGAAGCGCAGCCTGCAGGGCCGAACTCCCCTTGATCGCATCATCCCAAAAACCATCGTGTCCCTGGGCCAATTGGGCCACCGAACCACCCCGCAGTTTACAGTAGATACGGTAGAGGGTGGGACACTTACAGACAGTCCTCTCATCAACGCGACTTTTCTGAAGAAGGCAGATGATGCCCAGCAGAGCCTGAGCAGGCCAAGCCTTGTGTCGTTCACGTCCATTAAACAGCCCGGCGAGAGCTTCGGCAGCGCCAGGGTCCAGATCCAGGAAATCCCGAGGCCTCCACCCACCAACTCCAACCGCAGTGGTTCCGGAAACGACCCGACTCGCAACGTACAGATCTCGGGGAATGAGTTCGGGGACTGAATCCGAAGGGCAGCCACGCGTAGCTCATCCGACGCCTCGCCAAGCTGTAGTTTCTGGATGGCGCTAGGGGTCCACCATTTGCTCCAATTTTTTCACGGAGCTGCGCCATCTGTTGGGGGAGTTGGAGTAGCTATTGGGGGGCCTTGAAGTACTCCAGCTCCTTGTTTCATCCCTCCTAAGCCATGAATGTGCCTCAGACGCTCCGCGAGGGAGAGCCTTCAGCAACAAGTCCTCGACGGTCTTAGCTGAGTCAGTGAGGGCCATCGCCCACGCCTTAGTGAGAGTGGCCGTGCACCTATCAACCAAGGCCTGACATGTATCAATATTCACTGATTTAAACCGCTAAGCTGGGTGCGCCATTCACGTGGAAGCTGATCAGCTGGCCGGCAAGCAGTGTGCTGATCCATGCGAACACCCAATTCAGCGAGTTCGTTGCCGAGACTGTGATGCATGCGTTGGTAGCCCTTGCTGAGGGCCACTCCGAGTTCAAACAACTTCTGAGAGACAGTAAACCAGCAGGTGGGGGAAGGCTGGGCAAATCATCCACTCCTTTGCCATGGTCAGTAAGTGCGGTGGAACGAACATGCGCGGTCTCTCCTCTGCCAAAATATCTCTGCTTCCTCCTCCACAGCAGTAGAAACCATCATTCGTTCCATCGGTCGTGACCAGAGAATGTAGGATATGTCAAGACTAGCAGAGAGATGAGCACAGACATGCGGATGTACATTAGGCACGTCGGCCACAGGAGGTGGTCGCCAAGCACGAAGTTCAGCAAAGAAATGCGTGGCTGGAGGAGGAGGAGGAGGAGGAAAAGGACGAGGAACGGAAGGAAAGTGGCCAGCTTGGTTGACCGTTGGTAGTTGCCATGGCATCGAGAGTAGCCCTCATCGTCTTTTCGCGCACCAGGCTTAGTTTTCGCTCCATCTTTGCCATCAACGCTCTGTGTCCTCTCTGCACACGATACTGAACGGCGGCCCTTCTCACGATGATGTAGGCAATAGCGCCACCAATGATAAGATGAGGAGGGATGTTCCGAGGGAGGTTCAAGGTGAGAAGGGGCATGGGGAACCGAGATCTCAGAAGCTGGCCGGGATTCCAACATCTTGCGGCTCTCATTCCAGATCGGGACCAGTACACCAGACGGATTCGGGTAATGTTTCTCGCGCCACCGCTTCACCACCGCTTCATTGTCCGAAACAGAGTTCATCTTCCGAAGTGAACACCAGATTGTAATCCCCAAGAGAGCGCAGTTCACCGAGAGCCACGGCTTGCTTCCCACGAGAGGTCCACACAAGCCTGGGCCCAGAAGTGCAGGCTCGCAACCTCGAGCGGCGACTGCTGATACGCCTGCTCTGCTGAGCCTGGTGTCGGGAATCAGGGCCCCCCCCCCTAGGTGTGATGACAGAGGGAATGGGTGGGAGAGGAGGGTGAGGGGAAGGCGGAATATGAGAGGAGTGACGGGGGAGGATGATAGAGTGATTTGGGAGGCAGGAGCAGAAAGAGTAAGGAGGCATCAGGTTGCCGTGTGTCCGACGGCTACCCCAGCCTGCTTCTCGAATGAAGCGCAGGCAATTGTGCACCCCGAGTTGTGTCACCTGCCAGCCCCTGAGTCGCTGTAGGTCGGTGCCAGCAGGAGAGGAGGGATTCGAGAGGGAGGTGGCGGAAGAGGGATGGTGGTGGTGAGGATGAGGACGAGGATGCGGAGGACATGGGGGAGGAGGGGGAGCAGGAGGAGCAGGAGGATGGGTTCTTCCTTCTCCTCTTCCTCCTCCTCCTATTCCTCCGTCTCCTCCTCCTCCTCATCCTCCTTTTCTCTTCCCTCATGAATATCTCCTCCCTGTCGCAACCTGAGGCCAGTCGGAAGGCGGGTCGGGCAATTCGCTTGATGTTCCCTTACCGTTTATGAGCCTCAAGCTAAAACACCGGCAAGATCTTCACGAGTTCAGGGCGGTTTGTTTTCAAAATGTGGTTCTCGCCGTAGCGCCGCGCGCATTCGTTGTGAAAATTTGCAAGGGTTGCACGGGTTGAGGGTAGTTTCTTTTCAATATGTGGCTCTCGCCTTAGCGCCGTGCACATTCGTTTTCTAATTTGCAAGAGTTTGGACAGGTGGTTTTCAGCATGTAGCGCTCGCTATCGCACCGCGCTCATTCGTTTTCAAGCGTTGCAAGAGCTTCACGTATTGAGGGCGTCTCGTTTTCGAAATGTGGCCCTCGCCTCAATGCATCGCACATTCGTTCTACATATTTGCAAGGGCTGCACGGATTGAGGGTGGCTCCTTTTGAACATGTGGCTCTCGCCTTAGCGCCGCGCACATTCGTTTGACAAAAAAATCCAGAGTTCCAGTGGTTCTCATGGTTGGCGTACAAGAAATGGCGGTTTGGAAGGACTCAGGGCTGTCAGGCCGCAAAGGTTACGTTGATTCGCGGTGTTGAAGTCCCAGGAGCGATGTTCTGGCACGATTCAGGATCGCCAAGACGCAACAGTCAGATTGACTCGTGGCGTGGAAGTTATGCAAATGGTGTTTTAGCACGCTTCCGGATCTTCGAGCGATTGTCTCCCAGCTGGGCACTTCCCCCAGCGGAGATGAATCTTTGTAGGGGCCTATGAAGACGGCGCCTGGAGGGAGGCCCGGAGGGAGGGTATATTCCAACATCTTTGACGAGCCTTGGGTTTGCACTGGTCCTCCTCCTCCTTCTCCCCCTCTGTCCTTCATCCTCCTCGTCCTCAGGCTCATCCCCTAACCCCCCACTCCCGATCCTCCTCCTCCTCCTGCTCCTCCTCCTCCTCCTCCTCCTCCTCACCAGCCAGCCTCGAACTGTCGCTGGCTTCTGCTCGAGGCGTGGCGCTGATGCTTTGATTGCGCCGGCTTTTCCATGCGAATGTGCGGGGCGTGGGCACCGGAGTTGGGGATGGAGGAAATGAGGGCCGGGGCCATGTGCGGGGCGTGGGCCGGGAATTTCCTGCCTGAGCCTGCTCTTCGTCGTCTTGCTCCTCGTCTTCCTGCTCCTCGTCTTCCTCCTCCTCTTACTCCTCCCGCCTCCTCGTTTTCTTCCAGCTTCTCCTGGCTCCTCGCCTTCCTGCTCCTCGTCGTCCTCCTGCTCATCTCGCTCTGCTTCCTCGTCATCCTTCTGCTCCTCTTCATCCTTCTGCTCCTCATGCTCCACCGCCTCCCTCCGCCGTCTTCCTCCGCCATCTGTCGTTTCTCGCGCGTCGCACCGTCCACCGCCCTCTCGTTCCGTGCGTTGGGCCGCCCAGGGCTCAGGGCTGGGCCTCCCTTCGCTGCGGAGGGTGGCGGTCAAAGCTAGAGTTCCCCCCCTGGCTCTCGAGGTGAAAGTCTGTCATCAAGACAGCGCGCAGACTGCTGCAAGGTCGAGTCTGGCCGACATCTCCATCTTCCACCTCGTCCTCTTCCCGTGGCTCAACCACTCACAACTCTGTCACGAGAGGTGATATGTCGTGGCGCTGTCCGCGCTCCTTCTTCCCCCTGCAGAAGAGATGCGCTGCACAAAGTCGTCCACCTCGCCCCCCTCCCGAGGGGCTCCAGACCATCCCCAGCTCCTGAGCATGGCTTATGCTGCTCCAACCTGCTTTAGCCTTGACCGCCAGAAGGAACTTTGAGCACCAAGAAAGCACCGAAACTTGAGGGTCTTCACGTGTAGGGCCCCGGGGGGCGATGCTCGTTCGACACTGCTTCGATACTTGTTCTGGATGCTCGCACTTGAAGGCCACCGGACCATCGGCGGGGCGGCGTGCGTGCGCGGCCGGAGGGGGGCCGCGCACGCGGCGTGGAGAGTGTGGAGACTGGAGCATGATTGGGGTGGCGGGGGCCGTCGGCACTGAACGGTGTGTCTCGTTTTCGTTCTGCTCTTCGTCCCGTCCCTCCTCGTTTGGCCTTCGCTTCGCCTCGAGTGCAAGCTGGCCACGCGCAGGAGGGGGTATGGGGGAGGGGGGAAGGCTTCTTAGAAGCACCCCTGCTTCTAAGAAGCCTTCCCCCCTCCCCCGACCCCCTTGTGCGCGCCGCCAAGCAAGAGAAAAAGCATGGAGGCCTTTTGCGCCCGCGGGCCCTCCGCGGCCCCGCAGGCTTCGAGCAGCGCATCGTCCCCGCCCCAGACGGCCGCGGCCTCGCGCTCGCGTGGCAGGACACGCCCGCCGCGCGGGGGGCACCCCGCCTCCCGCCGGTCCCGGCTCGGCGCGCGGGAGGGGCCGCGGGCTGGCGCAGGCGTCCCTGGGCAGCGCTGGGGCGCGTGCATGTCTTGTCCTCGGCGGGGATCCTCGAGGAGGGTCCTCGGGCCAGGGGGAGAAGAAGCGCACGAGGCCGAACAGAAAGGCACGGGCAGTGGACGTCCGAGCGATGGCAAGATCCTGGGGGCCCCCGGGGGCCAAGAGCGGCCGCCCGGACTCCAGGCCTCCCAGATGGGGTCCGGGCAGATAGGGTCGGAGGCTCGCGCCGCATCGACGAAAGCCCGAGTTTCTCCCCACCGATGGCGCCGATGCATCGGCGAGGCATTGGCGACGCGGCGCGATCCTCCGAGTCCATCTACTTGGGTCCCATCTAGGAGTTCTCTGCAAGGGCAGCCGCCTGGACTGCACGAGCGCCAGGAGCCCCCTTGACCCGCGCGTGCCACGCCGAGTTCGTCTCGGTCGGCTTCGCTATCGTGTGCGGCACCCGTCTGCGCCAGGGAAGCGGGGAGGAGGCGAGTGGAAGGGCCGGGGAACGGGGAGGAAGCGGGGAGCGGGGAGGAAGCGGGGAGGAAGCGGGGAGGAAGCGGGGAGCGGGGAGGAGCCGTCTGCGCCAGGGAAGCGGAGTGGAAGTGGGGTTCGCGGGAGAAGGGCGAGGGGGGTTGTGCAGGGGCATGTCGGCGGCGGGGCGAGAGGTGCAGCGGCCGCCTGCGCAGCGTAGGCTTTTCGCTTCAGACGGAGCATCGGCAGCGGTTTGCCTTGTATGATTCAAGGGCGTAACAAACTCCCCTACCCTGGTTTATGAGGCGCTGTGCGCTGCACCTCCTGTGGGCTGACAGGGTAAACCCTGCGTGTCGCGCGTGCTGCGCGACGTCCTGGCGGCTCTCTGGCCTGTGGGAGCTCCCAGGAGGTTTACTGACCACGCACTTGTAACCCAGGGTAGGGGCGTTTTTTTCATTCCTCAAATTATGGCAGTTTCCTGGGCAGGCTTCGAAGCAAACGTGCGACCTTATGCGTGAGGGGGAGACACGTGTGCTGCAATCCGGTTGCATCGTCAGTCGTCGGGTCTGTAAGTTCCCCGTCGTCAAGGTTTGGCTTACCACGCCAGGGCAGTACAATCGAGTCACGCGCACGCATCTGCACCTACGGCTCGTAATTTGACATCGTCTTTCCATCGCCAAGCCACGAATCTTATCGCTGGTTGCCGTTGCGTTTGCCTCGTCCGAGAGTGCCAACCCTGGACACCTGAACGTTTGGTGCTCCTCCGCGGACGCCGACAGTGCCAGCTGCAGAGGGGCTGCAGGCCCGCCGCTCACTTCCGTGAGTGAGGACACCGAGACCCCTGAGAGCCCAGCTCTCAAGGACAATCTCCTTCACCTTGTCCACGTGTGGAGGCCACGCTCGGCACGGCTTCGCCGTTCCCTGCCCATCCTGTGGAAGACGTGCCCGCTGCGCTGGGCTGGGGCATCTCTGCGCGAACCCGCGCGGCTGCAACTGTGCGTGGTGCGGACTACTGCACGAGGAGGAGGAGGAGGAGGAGGAGGAGGAGGAGGAGGAGGAGGAGGGGGAGGAGGAGGGGGAGGAGGAGGAGAGGGAGGAGGAGGAGGAGGAGGAGGAGGAGGAGGAGGAGGAAGAGGAGGAGGAGGAGGCGGAGGAGGAGGATGAGGAGGCGGAGGAGGAGGAGGCACGAGTCGAAGCATATGGGCTGCAGGGCCCCGACGGGCTTCGGGGGGGGGCGGCCAGGGCCTCGGCATCGCTCGGGCGTGTGCACGTCTCTTTCGGCGAGGAGCATCGAGGAGAATGCTTGGTCATTGGGCGAAAAAACACGCACGAGAGCGAACAAAAAAACACAGGGAATGGACGTCCGAGCGATGGCCAGGGGCGGCCTTGGTGCAGCGCACGCCGATGGCGGCCAGGTCCGAGGCCCCCCAGAAGGCGTGGCAGCCTCGGTGTTCCTCGCAGGGCTGGACCTAAACGGTGTTTTGGCGATTGCGTGGGCCGTTTTCGTTTCGAATACGAAGGCACAACGAAAACGAAAAACACAGTTTAGGTTCAGCCCTGGTTCCTCGGCCTCTCGCCCCTCGTGAGTGCCGCCGACGTCGCATGCAGTGAAGACCCATGCCAAGAAACACCCCGCTTGCCTCCAGGGTGCCCAGGGTTTCTTGGAGTTCGAGGGTTTTGCGGCGGGGAGCGTGACGTTCCCACGCGGAAAACAGATGGACGTCATGGGGTCTCAGGGTTGGGTTTCTTGTGGAAGGTTTCTTGTGATCGGGCCTCCATTGCACCCACCGCGGATGGAAGCAACTGGCGCAAAACCAATGCCGCCGAAGATGTAAGAAATGAGCGCTAAGCGCAAGTGCCGTTCTTCTCAGCCTGAGGTCAGCGCTGACTGTACGGTGCTCCTTCTTTGAGCGGCAGAGCTTCAACGTTGTGAATCGGTTTCGCGCTAGTTTGTCCCATCCGCGGTATCTCCGCACGCATATGTTCGGTTCGTCGACCACCACCTCTTGCATAACACAGTATCGATATGTTCTGCCTGTGCGCCAGGCATTGTGTAGCTACGTGGCTGGCCAGGTTGTGTTGCACCGCATCTTGCAACTTGAACGCATCCAGTGAGTAGCTGACCGTTGTAATTTCTTGGGGCACGCTGATTGGCTCGTCAGCAAGAGGATCTCTATATATACTCTGCAGGGGAGGGAAGCTCGTCCTCCTCAATGGAGGCCGCTTGGAAGCATCATCTGCGAGAGGTCTGGCATCCGCATCGCGCCGATCGGGTATCCTTGCCAGCCCAGGGCTCCCGGATGCGCTCGCCGTGTAGGCATCACCTAGGGTGCGCGCCTTCGCTTCGGCTTCGAAGTACATGTGATCAAACATTGGCGTAATCATTTTGTGTGTGATTTTTTGTTGACGTGGCCCTCTCGGCCCACTTCTGCAGGCATTTGCAGAACCTCCTTGCTGCTTTCGTGAAGATGTTTCGAGCCATCGCTTGTCTGTGTCTTGCGATGTGAGTTCACCCGCAAATGTCTGCAGCGAGGGTTACCTGATGTCTTGCGAGGTTCATATATGGAATGACGAGGGTGGGCTGATCATTGCGAGGCGTATACTTGATATGGCAACGCATATCTGGTTTCTAGCGACATGTTTCGGTCTCTCCTCTTTCTCTTTCTCTCTCTCTCTCTCCATATCTGTCAACTGGTATTCCCCTCTGTCTAGGATGGCGACTCCATCCTCCTGCAATGGTTTACCAAGAGCTGTGCTCCGAGCGGTGCATTTGCTTGAGAGTTGGCATGTTTCCCTGCGTGCTTGTTCCCGCCGCCTATTTCACACACGTGCCCCCAGTGGCCTGCCAATGTTCAAAGGGTACGCGCGCTGCCATCGGCTTCGTTTGTTTGATTCCACGTGCAAGGGAATCGCTGCGCCTTCGAGCTCCTAGCCTTCACGCTGCCATCCCCCCCTTCGCCTCTCAATACCCATCCCCGTCTCCTTGTTTCCCAGCCCTATCCACCTCGCCTCCTTTGCCCTGCTTCCTCTTCCCAATCCCGTGCCCCTTCCCATATTTCATCCCTTGAGGTTGTAGGTGGGGCTCCCTGTGCAGACATGAAACGTTTGAAGTGTGTGCCGAAGTGGGCTTGGGCCGGCATGCATCCGCGCCTTTTTGGGGCCGCAGGTGTAGCTCCCTGTGAAGGGGCGACAAACGTGTGAGGGCTATGCCGAAACGAGCGGGGAGCGGCAGGCGAACTCGCCCACCGAGGCCATAGGTGGAGCATTATATGGGGCGGGGAACGTGTGAGGGGTGCGCCGAAAGGAGCGGGGGCGGCATGCGAACGCGCCAACTGGGGCCGTAGGTAGAGCTCATTGTGGAGACACGAAGCATGTGAAGGTTGTGCCGACAGGGGCGGGGGGGCGCTATGCGCCCGCGCCCGCCCGGGCCGTAAATATGTGGAGCTAGATTAGTGTCGGGCGTGTTCCTCTCAAGGAGGAATATACAAAAATAGTCAAACAATAGTCTGGGGACGATTTTTTTTATAACAATGTTCGAATAGTTTGGAGCATGTCGAGGGTATTGTTTGAATTTTGCGGCCACAATCCGCCTGTAGGGGGACATGCCCGACCTAAAGCTGGATGGGGGTACGCGAGATTTGCGACCGTTGTGTAGGTGCAGGTGTGTGTTTGTGTGTGCCGAAATGGGCCAGGTGGCTGTATGCCAATGCGCGCATTGGGAACGTAGGTGGGGCCCGATGTGGGGGCGCGAAGCGTGTGCGCGGGAATTGGTGAGGGACGGCATCCGCCCGCGCTGTCATCGGCCGTAGGTGGACCTCCCGGTGGGAGGGGTGCGCCGAAATTAGCGGGGACCGGTTTGTTCTCGCGCCCACTGGGCCTTGGGTGGTGCTTCTCTTCCTGTGGGAGCAGGAAGCGTGTCAGGAGTGCGCCCAAATGAGCGGGCGGGGGGGGGGGCATGCGAACATGCCCACTAGGTCGTAGGTGGGGCTCCCCATGGGGGCGCGATCAGTGTGAGGGAAGCGCCGAGATCAGCAGTGTAACGCATGAGGGGAAGAAGGAGGAGGTGGGAGAGGAAGTGGGGGTAGAGGAGGGGGGAGGAGTAACAAGGATGGAAACGGTCGGCACAGAGGAGAGATAATGAGGACCCGACCCAACGCCACAGGAAGGGCGAGACTCCCCCGCTTCGTAGAAGGCCTCCCGCCTTCTAAGCATGTTTTCCGCATGCACGAGCTGTGCGCCTCTCCTTGGGTCCTTTCCTCCTCCTCCTCCTCCCCCTCCCTCCTCCTCCTCCTCCTCCTCCTCCTCCTCGTCCTCCTCTCCTCCTCCTCCTCCTGAGAACCCACCATCCCGCTCCGCTCCTCCCCCCCCTCCCAACCTCCACACCCCTGCCACCATCCCGCTCCGCTCCTCCCCCCCCTCCCAACCTCCACACCCCTGCCCGCGCTGCCCCGCGCCTCGTTCGTCCTGCGGCGCGCTGCGTGTGAGAGCTACTCGGAGTTTGCGCGCCCCTCGGTAGTGAGTGGCTGCGTCGAGATGCTTCGCAGCTGTGTGGGCGAACTCGCGGCGGCGGCTTGCACAAAACGCCGCACTTCCTGCTGCCGCTCATTCTCCGCCGGCTGCCGCGCGGAATCGCCAGCGTGCCCTCCGGCCTCGCCATCTCCCCAGCTGGGATCGCCACTTCATCGCGCGCCTGCGCCACCGCTTCTAAGGTTCGTCAAGTGCAGGGGTAGTTGCGCGACCCAGAACGAGCACCTGGCAGGGCAGTGTCGGAGAGCTGCTGCTCCGCGAAGGCCACCTCAACAAGATTTTGAGCGGTGCGAGGATCCGAGTTCAGCAGGCTCCAAATTCATACAATCCGAGCTCAGCCGGTCCGAGTAATGACGCGTCCGAGATCAGCCCTACCCAAGTTCAGACGTGCCCGAGATCAGCCCCTTTCCTTGCGGCGCGCGCGACGCGTGGCTCGCGCCGCAGCCGAGTGCGAAATCAGCCAAATCCGAGATCAGCCCGGCCCGAGTTCAGCGGGGTCGAGTTCAGCCAGGCCCGAGTTCAGCCGGGTCCGAAATCAGCTGGGCCCGAGTTCAGCCGGGCCCGAGTTCAGCCGGGTCCGAGATCAGCCGGGCCCGAGTTCAGCCAGGTCCGAGCGCAGCCGCGGGCCTGGGTCCGAGTTCAGCCGGGCCCGAGTTTTGTCGGGTCCGAGATCAGCCAGGTCCGAGTTCAGCCAGGTCCGAGGTCAGCCGGATTCGAGATCAGCCAGATCCCCTTTGCGGTGCCTTCGGCGAAAGCCCCGCACCGCAGCTGGAGCGGTTGGGCCCGAGATCAGCCGGGTCCGAGATCAGCCGGGCCCGAGTTCAGTTGGGCCCGAGTTCAGCCGGGTTCCAGTTCAGCCAGGTCCGAGATCAGCCAGGTCCGAGTTCGGCCGGGCACGAGTTCAGCGGCGGGGTCCGAGTTCAGCCGGGTCCGAGTTCAGCCGGGCCCGAGTTCAGACGGGTCCGAACCCATTCGGGTCCGAGATCAGCCAGGTCCGAGACCAGTTCCTTCCCTGAGGACGGCGGGCGGTTCGCGTTTTACCGACGCCGGGGGAAGGGTTTCATTCGGGGCGCCAGCGCGCGCCTCCGACGGCGATCGAGCGTGGGTGTTGCCGTGGTAGAATCGGGCCGGACGGAAGGGGGGGATAGGGAAAAGGGGGGGTTCCAAAATTTGCTGCGTGCAGATGGTTTCGGCCCCACCGAGGGGCCCACTCCTCGATGCATGGCCGCCTCCCGGCGCCGGGGGGCGCCGGGAAAATCAGCTACCAGAGCTGATTCTCACCCCCCCCCCCCTTTGCTATCCCCCCCTGTCACCCGGCCCGATAGAAGAAGGGGGCGCCGCTTTTGCAGCCCAGCTTCTGTGTCGGCGCTCCGTCGAGTTGGTCGCAGCGCTGTGCGTGCGTCTGAGGACACGACGAACGCCTTCGCGCGCGGGCCCTGGGGCGAGCTCGCCAAGAGAGTGGAACTACATTCGGCCCCCGAGAACATCGACTTCCGTGTGCAACGGTTCCGAAACAGCGCAACGTGGTTGAAGTCTTCTGGAGGGAGGGGTCGAATTTGATGAAGTTGGGCGAGGGGGGGGGCGCGGCGGGGGGGCCGTGCGCAGTGACACGTTTAACAGACGCGTTTGCCGGCTAGTAATGCAGCGGCGCTGGCGCGCTCGTGAAATCGGCCCCTCGTCGAGGGAGTTCACTGCGCGCTGGGGGGGGGATTCGGAGCGGGCGTCGGTGCGAACCTGTACGCCGACGACTTCTTCAAGGCCCCTGTGGCAGCACAGTGTCCTTCAGTGGGAACTGTCTTCTCGGTTCTTCGGGAGGCGGATGAGGCATTATCGGAGGAGATGCAGGGTTCGGCTGCGCCCAGAACGCTTCGAGGCAGGAGCTGGACACTTGATTCCGAGGACCTTGGGCCATTCAGTATCGGCCGCGGGCGAGGGGGACGGGTTGATCGAGCTCTTCAAGTGAGCTTCTGGATGGTGTTCGTGACCTGGGGCCTCGAGTGCATCTGCAGTGATCCGATGTTTTTGAAGGTCGTTGTCGAACTTAGGCCGCAGCTGAGGCATGCGATTCAATTGGCAACGTCTGGGGTTTGCCTGTATCGTTCCGTTGAACGCGGATGTTTTTGTTGGGTTTCCGGCGCTGAGAGGGCCAGAACCAATGCTGCTGACAACCAAACATCATCGCGAATTGAATGCGCTTATAGCACGGTATGGGCGGAGGACGACTCAGGGGAAGGAGGTGCTATCAAAGGAGAAGGAAAGGAGGAGGAAGAGGAAGAGGAGGAGGATGAGAGGATCCGCACTGTTTCGAACAAGCAGGTCATGCAGCAATGGCGTCTGGCGAGTGTGAGCTCATGGTCCGAAGGCTGGGATGGCATCGCAGTTGGGCCTTGAGTCCAGAGTATCACAAGCAGGGGTTGTGCTTGATGTTCTGTGCGAAGCCGCTCGGTTTGGGCGGCGCTCCACTGTCAGGCAGTTGCGTTTTGTGGTCTGCCTCCCCGTCGTTGTCGAGGCTGCCGGGGGACTTCAAGCAGGGCTCGGAACCCGTGGGCGAGGGTGCGATTTGCGGCCGCTTCGTCCTGCTAGCTCGCATGGGCTTCGCCGAAATCCGATCCCGTGCGTCGTCTTGCGCAATGCCCCCTGGCCTTGGCTCCCAATGCCCTGTCCCCGAGGGCATCGAAGAGCCCACGGAGTTCCAGCCGCAGTGCGATTCGGTAGTGGCAGGGGGCCGTCGTGGACGAGGATTGCAAATTAAACGAGACCTACTGAATCATAGGAGGCGCATTCATCAGGTTCATATCTTATGAGTTCGCCAGTACCTCCGACTGGTGCCCGTGTCGTATGCCGTCGAGCTTTAGGGTTTCAGGGCAGCGTTTGTACACATGTGCAGCAGGCGGTTACGGCGAGCAGGAGCCCGTCTCGGGGGGCGTCAACATTCCCGTCGGCTTCAAGTTCCTCCGAGTTCCAAGCTCGTGGACTTGATGATCTCTGTCGTCACTTGGCTGAGTCTCGTCTTCCGCGGCGCTCCCCAGCCCTCGGGGGGCGATGCCCGAAAAGGGCGAGGCGCTGGCGATGCCGGGGTGGACGCAAGCCCCCTCGTCAGAAGGCAGCCCCCAAACGAATCGCAGGCTCGGGCGCGCCAACGGGGACCTGCTCAAGCTCGCGGGCTCCACGCTGGCGCAGCTCGTCGTCATCCTCGCAACGCTGGTAGCCGCGGCAAGCACTTGGCAGAGCTCACCCGCACCGCGCATCGAACCTTCGACCTCGACGCAGGCACACTGCTGGCCATTGCTATGGAGGACCCGGGCAGCAGTACGACGCCGCATCGCAAAGTCTAAAACATATGCAGAAGGCGGGCGAGGCGGTCAAATGGAGAGCCCGAGGGCCACCTTTCGTTCAGATTATCATGGCGTCGATGTTGTGGGCGGCCACAGAAGCAGACACTCATGAGGCTCCAGCGTGGGTGATGTTGCTCGAGGAGATGTGGACTGAGAAGATCGCGAAGAAGGCGATGACCGAGGTGGGCTCGTTGATTCTTCGTTGGCAGTGGAAGCGCAACAAGCGCAAGCAGGACGATGCCAGCAACGACCGTGGGCGCGTCCTCTCCGCGATCGACACAACCGGCCAGTTCGGCCTGGAGCTGCTGAAGCAGGTCGGGCTGATGCCCACGGGGCCAAAGGCGGAGAGGGAGATCGGCCCCGCGCCGCGCGGCCCGCTGGAGGGGGATTCGCGCCCATGGAGTCGCAGCAGCAGGAGCCTCCCCCCCGTCCCGTCAGCCCACCGACCCCGACAGGGAATACCCCCACTGTCCAGCTGGAAGTTTTTCAGCCAAGGAAGGAAGGGAAGGGCAAAGGCAAGGACAAGGGTCGGTAGCAGAGTCGCTTGGTTCCCATCCGTGCGCCCCTCGTTAGGCTGCGCGCCGAGTTCGGGGGTGCCCGCAGGGGCTGTTCGGGCCGCGCTGGGAAGTTTGGCGGCATCAGCTCTCGCCCCCAAGAGTTCCCCCCTGCACCACTTAGCTTGTCACTTAGCCTGGCAGGCGATAAGCAACAGTAGACGAACTCCTGCGGGCCATCATGATGATTTGTTCCTCCTTCTTGCCTTCTACTCCCCCTACCCCTGAGTAGCACTCATCGCTGATCAGGCGTTCGTACTCCGCGCGCTGTGGAGAAACACTGGCGTGGTGGTTCACCGTGCTCGCCGGCAAGGCATTCATCATTGATTGGTGGTTGATGGTGTGGCTGTTGATGCTGAACTCATACATCGATCCCTTCTGAGAAACCCCTTGCCCTCTTAAAGTGCCGCCGCCTTCTCCCCCCTTGCGCACGCCGCCACGTTCACTTCGCCCTGGAGGTGCCACCTTCGAGGTGAACAGGTCCCAAGAGTTCTGGGGTCAGCCCGCCTCCAGCGGCCTCAACGACGCGGTGCGGGCTGGCGGGGGGAGTGCGAGTGCAGCGTCACGGACGCAGGGGGGCAGAGAGGTGAGGAGGCGGGAGGAGACGCAGAGCGAGGGGGGGCGATGGGGTGGGAGCGGCCGCAGGACGAGGCGGAAGGGATCGAGCCAGAACACGCGGTATAAACATTCGTAGCACCCCGCAGATGCGGATAAGAGTGAGGGGCGTTGGGGACGCCGGCAGTTTGCGAGACTCTGGAGAAGCCCGCCGCAGGCGCCAAAGCTTTACAAATTATACAACGAGCCCGACGCAGGCGCCGACTTTTACTCATTAAACTAATGTGGATAGGTCGCGGGTGGGTGGCAAATGGGTCGCGGGTGGGTCGCTGTCAGGTCGCTGTTGGATCTCGGGTAGGTCGCGGGTGTAGAGAGCAGACAATCCACCTCAGAATAAGCACCCCGACAATCGAAGCCGTTTAGTAAACGCACAAAGAGTGAATTCGAACAGGGCAGGGTTGTATGGTAAACGCCCAGGGTCGTTTAGTAAACGTCAATTGTCGGGTCCGGATGGTTTTTCTTCCCTTGAGGGTGGGTCGCGGGCTGGGTCGCGGGTGGGTCGCGGGGTGGGTCGCGGGTGGGTCGCAGATGGGTCGCGGATAGGTCGCGGGTCGGTCGCGGGTGGGTCGCGGGGTGGGTTGCGGTTGGGTCGCGAGTGGGTCGCGGGTGGGTCGCGGGGTGGGTCGCGGGTGGGTCGCGGGTTGGGGGTTGGTCGCGGGGTGGGTCGCGGGATGGGTCGCGGGTTGGGTCGCGGGGTGGGTCGCGGGTGGATCGCGGGTGGGACGACGACAACAAACAACAACAACAGCAGCAGCAGCAACAACAACAACGCAACAAGCAGAATTCTCACCACGAATTCCTTATTTAGCCACGCGCCCAGGGACAATGAATGACCGTTCGGCTCCTTCATTAACATACGTTGTCGGAGGTCCGCGCGGACTTCCGAAAGTGTATGTTTATGCAGTTTCGTCCCCGTCTAAGGGAGAGGAAGTGGAGGGGGAGGTGGCGGGCGCGTCGTCGACTGGAGGCAGTGGGCACGCTGCAAAGGTCTCCTCCTTTTGTTGTGTGCGGCTGGTGAGGCACAGCGGCTGCTACTATGAATTGCGCTGTGTTTGCCAGAGAGGCGGCAGCCCATGCATTCGTAAGTAGGACAGTGGGCCTGACAGTCCGACGGCCCAGGCGCTTGGGCCACCTTGGGGACATTGTAGGGCAATGGAGGGCTCGTTGGGCTTCTTTTGGAAGCTTATGGAGTTTTGCAGCTGTTGGTCGGTCGGTTTTTGGCCGCCGTTGTGGCGGTCTTCGGCACCCTGGAGTGTCCTGAGCTCTCAACTGGTTTTGTTGTTGCAGAGCGTTCCACCCTCGCGGGAGGAAGTAGCCGTCAGCATCCCGTCTGGGAGAAAATCAATCGGTAATCAGGGGCCCCACCCGCCCGTGCCAATACGAGCGAGGGGGGAGAAAGAGAGAGAGAGAGAGAGACAGGGGGCCATGACTCCGCTTCGCCGAAGGGCTCACAGCCGCGCAGCTCATAACAGCCCGCGTCCCAGAACTGGATGCCGGAGACTGTGTTGCCTGACGCCTCGCTGCCTTCCGCCGTCATCCGCCGTGCTGCTCGCAGTCGCGCCGTTCGCCTTCTGGATGCCAGAGCCAAAAATCGCCACACTGTGCGACCCGCGTCCACTTCGCAGCCGAAGGGCGTTGACCGCGGCGGGGACTGCGCGACCCGCTGGGGAGTTACCCATCGGTCGTTGAAAGTAAGTGTTCTTGGAGCCCCAGATTCCAATCTACTTCAAGCGCCTTCCTACTTCAATGATCGACTGGCTTCACCTTTTCCGTCCTCCTTGGGGGGCGGACGGGACCCAATCCACTTTCAACGCCTTCCTTCTTCATGCTTCTACCTCTTCCGACCGACCGGTATTCGCCTTGGCGTGGCATCGGGCACTGCCAGGGCCCGCCTCTGCTCGCAGCCGAAGGGCGTGGACCCCACGGGACGTCCAGCCGCCAGCAGGCGGCCGCTCGTCCCCGGGACGCGGGGCTGCTGCCGACGCCGACGCCCCCTCCTTCTGGGAGGAGTACGACGAGGAGTACGACGAGGAGGAGGAGGAGGAGGAGGAGGAGGAGGAGGAGGAGGAGGAGGAGGAGGAGGGGGAGGGCGGAGGGGAGGAGGAGGAGGGCGGCGGAGAAGTAGGAGGAGGGCGGCGGAAGAGGAGGGAGGAGGAGGAGGAAGAGGAGGAGGAGGGCGGAGGAGGAGGAGGGCGGAGGAGGAGTAGGAGGAGGAGGGAGGAGGAGGGAGGAGGGGAGGAGGAGGAGGAGGAGGAGGAGGAGGAGGAGGAAGAGGGAAGAGGAGGAGGAGGGAGGAGGAGGAGGAGGAAGACTTCCTCTTCCTGGAAGAGGAGGAAGAGGAGGAGGAGGAGGGAGAGGCGGAGGAGGCGGCCAGGCGGCCAGAGTGGCCGCCGGGGGTGGCCCGGAGAACTGCTGGTGCGGGTGGCCGGAGTCGTGCTCCAGGAGGGGAAGGACGCACGGACACGAGGAGTCGTCGGTTCCCAGGGCTACGACGAGGAGAGGAAGTAGAATGAGGGAAGTAGAACGACGCGAAGATCGGGACAAAATCGGATCGGGATAACTCGAAATCTCTGAGAATCGGCGGGCTTGGAGGAGGTATTGGGCGCCGCGGCCGCTCCAGAGCGTTCCAGAACGCTCCGAGAGCGCTCCGGAACGCTCTGGAGCGATTTATCCCGATCCTAGCCGTGTTTTAGGAAGGACACACGGACACAAGGAATCGTCGGTTCCCAGGGAGATGTTGGAAAACATGGGAAGTGCGGGGGGGGCGAATACACAAAAATATGGGGACATAGGGGGAATCCTGGGATGTGTGTCTATTAGTTTGTGTGTGTGTGTGTGTGTCCCGGGGCCCCCCATGCTCCTGCTCCCCACCGTTCTGATGCAAGTCGCGCTGCGCTGCTCCCCAGGCTGCAGGCCCACTCCCGGATGCCAGAGCTCGTGCCGCCGCTCCCCTTCTTGGTGCCGCCAGGCGTCGTGCTGCTGGCCGCCGCGGTACTGCTCGGAGCCGCACTGCTCGCCACACTGCCCGCCCCGCTTCCGGAGGTCAGGCACGTCCTGCGGCTTCCCGTTGGTTGCTCGGACTTGCTTGCTTGCTTGCTTGCTTGCTTGCTTGCTTGCTTGCTTGCTTGCTGCTCCCCCTTGGTGCTGCTGGATGTCGTGCTGCTGGTCGCCGTCGTGCTGCACGCAGCCGTCCCGCTCGGCGCGCTGCCCGGCGATCTCTGGGCGGCGCTGCTGCTCCCCGCTTTGCCTGGCGTCGTGTCTCGGCGGCGAGCCCAGGGGGGAAGTGAGAGGGGGCAAGCCTTCTCAGAAGGCGGCGGGGCCTCTCCGAAGCCCTCGCGCCTTCCGAGGAGTTTGGGCGTCTGCAGGGAAAGCTTAGGCAGAAAAATTGTCAGAAGGCTTCACGCTGTGCTCGGCGTCGTGGCGCTTGTCGCCGCCGCGCCCAGGATGCCCAGCAGCGTTGCGGTGGAGCCAGCCCTGCCGCTCAATCGTGGCACCTGGGAGGCTGCCTGCGGCGCCTGGGCCAGAGAACGACGGAAATTGTCGCTCGTTGGCCTGGGGAGCCGCTTGATTGCCGATGCGGTCGAGGCGCTTGAATAAGGGCCACTTTTGGTTCAGGAGGGACTCTGGGCTTCTCGTCCTCCCTCCTCCTCCTCCTCCTCCTCCTCCTCCTCCTCCTCCTCCTCCTCCTCCTCCTGCTCCTCCTCCTCCCTCTCCTCCTCCTCCTCCTTCCCTCCTCCGCCGTTGGATCGTTCCAGGTCGGTGGATCCTGCTCGTGACCCAGGCTCGCCGTGGCCTCACAAGCTCCTTCGTACCTCAGGCAGCGCTCCTCGTGGCAGCACGAGGGCTGTCGCCGATGTCCGCGTCACTAGGAGGCAAGAAGAGGAGGAGGAGGAGGAGGAGGAGGAGGAGGAGGAGGAGGAGGAGGAGAAGGAGAAGGAGGAGGAGAAAGAGGAGGAGGAGGAGGAGGAGGAGGAGGAGGAGGAGGAGGAGAAGGAGGAGGAGGAGGAGGAGGAGGAGGAGGGAGGAGGGAGGGAGGGAGGGAGGGAGAGGGAGGGAGGGAGGGAGGGAGGGAGGGAGGGAGGAGGTGTGCTGAGTGTGCTGACTACACGGGGCAGGGCCCCCTCTCCGCAGAGCATCAGGCCTACCACTCGGCAGGCTCCTCAAAAAACTCGGGCTCCCCCCTCCCCAGGGACCTGGAAAAGTCCACCACGGCCGAGGGGGAACCAAAACCGTGCAACAATGCGACCTGTCTGTCGTCTAGCTGCGGCACGTTGGTGCCGTACTTGACCTCAAAGGCCGCTGGAGCACGCATCGATTGAACGTCCCCACTTCCTGCCTCCTGCCCCCACGCGCCTCCAGCGAGGGAGGGGAAGCGGGAGGCCCAGGCCTCGATGTCGTCGCCTGAGGGGGCGCGGACGTCCACGATCCGCGCCTTAAGGCGCCCTGGCATGAGCCCTCGGCGGAGGAGGGAACGCTGAGTCCGCAGACCAGGGGCCCCCCTCCCACGACACACCCCGTCCAGCCCCTCACCCGACCGAACAATCTTGTGCACCGAGGACCCGCAAATTTTACAAAATAAAACATCTGGCTCGGGCTCCGCCCCTTCGGTCAGGGGCACGACCGACGCCTTGACGACCGAGTGACTATTGAGAGCCCAAGGCGTCCCAGAACACTCCTGACGATCAGGGCCCTCCTCACCTCCCGCAGCTGCGGCAGAAGGGGAGGAACGAGGGGGCGGCGGCGGCGGCGGAGGAGGCGGCAGGGAGGCCGAGGACGCAGCTCCCCTGACAGGAACCACGCCTGGGATCGCCGCAAACGGCTCCACCCCCTCCTCACAAGCCGCACTGGCCAGGCACTCCCATTCAAAAGGGCTGAGTTCGAAAGTGAGATCCGAGGTCCCAACAACCCCCTCGG